AGAACAAACAATAACTAATATATATAAACCTCCAGCCACTATTTGGCCTCCACAAGTTATATCCCTGTCCCCACACGCAGCTGTATATCTTGGAGATTTCAACAGCCATCACACTCAATGGAAGTACAGGGAAAACAACGAAAATGGTAAGATGCTTGTTAACTGGGCAGATGATAACAGCTTGTATCTAGTATTTGATGCAAAGGATAGAGGAACATTTAAGTTAGCATTTTGGAGGAAGGAGTATAATCCTGACTTGTGTTTTGTGACCAACATTGAGAAAAAACTCCCAGTGACAACTTCATGATCAGTGCTAGCAGATTTTCCCCATAGTCAACATCGTCCAATTCTGATTGAAATTGGCACAAATATACCTTTGGTGTCATCCTTTCCCTGTCCAAGATGGAATTTTAAGAAGGCAAAATGGAATGTATTTACTGAAAATGTAGATAAATGTCTGGGTTGAATCCTCCCAAAAGCTAATAACTATGAGAGACTCGTAGGTGCATTTATATGAACAGCAAGAAAGACTATTCCTAGAGGATATCGTAAACAATATACCCCAGGTTGGAACGATACTTGCGAGAATTTGTATCAAGAATTCCTAAAAAATGGAGATCATGAAATTGCAAATGAACTGCTACATAGTCTTGATGTAGTTCAATGAGAGAAATGGATGGAGACTGTTGAATTGCTTAATTTTAAGACGTCTAGTAGAGAAGCATGGTTGTTATTATGGAAATTAGGGGGAAGTAAGAAGAAAATAAATAATAGGACACATATCCCAGCCAATAAGATTGTGATACATATACTGTCTACATTAGAACACAAAGGCATAAAGCCCATATAAGACAAACTGGACATAAACTCAAGGCTCTTGAAAAAGTTAATACTGAACAATTCGAATATTCATGCCCTTTTTCCACTCTTGAAATTATAAATGCATTTAAGGATGTAAAAGCTGGTAAGGCACCTGGACATGATGGTATACACCCCGAATTCCTTTTGCATTGTGGAAAATATGCCAAAAAAGGTGGCTGGCAGAATTCTTTTCAGACATTATGGAAACAGGTATAATACCACATAAGATGAAACAATCCAAAATTATTGCAATACTTAAACCAGGAAAAACAAATGATCAACCAAAAAATTATCAACCAATGGGACTGCTAAGCACAATCTATAAGCTCCTTGAAAGACTCTTATATAATAGAATTAACCAGAAGATCTTCCAGATGATCCCAGTAGGACAAGCTTGATTTCTACCTGCCCGAAGTTGGCATTGACCAAGTACTTTCACTAACAACATATACATAGAAGCAGGATACCAGATGAAGCAAAAAACGTCAGTTGCTTTTATAGATTTGAGTTCAGCATATGACACAGTGTGGAGACATGGATTGTTATATAAATTAATACAAGTAATCCCGAGTTGAAAAATTATTCGACTTATTGATAATATGCTCGCTGGAAGAACTTTTTTTGTGGCAATGAGAGAGGATTTAAGTGTCCCTAAAATCTTAAATAATGGCTTACCACAAGGCTCGGTTCTCATACCCCCTTTTTTTAAATCTATACGTAGCTGACATACCCTATACAAAGTCCAGGAAGTTTGGCTATGCGGATGACTGGGCTATGGCCTCCCAACATAAATTTTTTGAGACAACTGAAGATGTTCTTACTACTGATTTAGAAATACTGGGTAAATATTTCTGTAAGTGGAGGTTACAGCCTAAGCCAACTAAGACGGAAGTAACATGCTTCCATCCCTGCAATAGATCAGCAGGCAGGGAGCTTAACATAAGATTTAAGGGAAATCAACTTAAACATAATATGCGTCCTAAATACCGAAGTACCTTGGGGTTACTTTAGATAGGACGCTTTCCTATAAAGAACATCTGATGAAGACTGCCGCCAAACTGAGAAGTAGAAATAACATCCTACAGAAATTATGCGGCACTAGTTGAGGTTTGACAATGGATACGTTAAGGGAGTCTGCACTCAATTTGGTGTACTCACCAGCAGAGTATTGTGCCCCAGTGTGGCTTAACAGTCCGTACACAAGTAGGATTGATGCACAACTGCATGAATCAATGCGCATTTGTCAGTGGGACAATACGATTTACTCCCACATACTGGCTGCCTGTTTTGAGTCATATACCAGCCTCGGATGTAAGACGGAAAAATGCCCTCCTTCAAGAATACCGGAAGATTACTGATAATCCTCAATTACTGATATTGAGTGACGTAACCTGCCTGGAGTGAAATAGGCTGAGATCTAGACATCCAGCCATTTCTACTGCTACATCACTTGTAGAAGATGACTTTAGTATGCACAATATGTGGAAACAGTACTGGCTAGAAAATTGCCCCCCCCCCCAATGTTGAAGTTTAATCTGCATATCAGAGAAACCTCCTGGATTTGACCAGCCCCATACGATATGGACATTGAACAGAATTTGTACCAGGCCATGGTAGATGTGCAGATGCCCTTTATAAGTGGGGCAAAATAACATCACCAAATTGTGATTGTGGGGCTGAGAAACAAACTATACAACATATAATTACAGAGTGCCCAAACAGCCTACAATGGAGATATTGCTGACCTCCTGGCTGTGACAAGTGAAGTAAAAAACTATATTTGTAATTTAGACATATGTCTATAATTTAAAATTTTATATTTTATATCTTGTATTTTATCTTTTGTGCTTTTAATATATTGAATTGCGATGTGAATGTGCCATACGATAAATAATAATTTCTATGTATACTGATAAATTGTAACCGTGAATTTCTATTGCCTGGTATCACTCCAATTATAAGTATGCATCTGCCTGCCCATTTCTATTCTCTTTGGCCTTTCAATACTCATTTTCTTAGTCATAAAGAACCGTTTGTTAAGAACCTTGTTTTCTGTTGTTCAGTTTTGATTAGTATGAGTCTCATGTTCAAGAAAGGCATGTGCTTTGTCTGTTTTCCCAGTTGCTCTCTGGAGTTTAACTGTTGAGAGAAAACCACTATTTTTGCATTTATAGTTTTTTCCAATAAATGGCATGTTACTGTATATTTCGTTCCTAGGTACTATGCTGGAAATTCCAACATAATGGCTCCATGTGATGCAGCTGCATCAGACATCTGTCTTTGCAGATCATTGCAAACCCAGTTAAATTTTTCTCAAGGAGCAGGTGGAAGCCTTGGCCTTTTCCTAGCTTTGGATAGTATACCAGTTGTGAGCCTTTCTGGACTGGAATACTTTGCAATTGTAACTCATGCCTTCATCTCATTAATGGGATTTACATGGGCTGCTAATGAAGATTAACTCAGAAACTGCAACTGATTCAAAATGCAGTGGCCTGACTACTAAAAGGTAGAAGTAGATTTAGTAATGTTATGTCTTATGCTGAAGTTGCTGCACTGACTGTCAAGAGTTTCTGGGTCCAATTTAAGGTGCTGGTTTTTAAGCCTACATGGCTTAGTATCCACATACTTCCAGGACTGTCTCTCCCAACCTGAATCAGCCCTCTGTGAGGAACTACTCCAGGTTTCTTTCCCATGTAAGGTAAAAAGAGCAGAAGCCTGGAGGTGTACCTTTTCTATGGAAACCTCCATATTATGGAATATCTTGCCCTCTGAGGTATGGAGTCCCCACCTTGCTTGCATTTTGTAAAGACATTAAGACCAACCTGTTTTGACAGGTTTTTGGTGCAGATGGTGGAGCTGGGCTGCATTTCTAATTGTCTAATTTTCTTACATTTTGATGGATTTTTTTTTTCAAGTAAAAGGCCTTGAGTGCTTCAGAGAGGGTACTACAGTAATAAATGTGTAAAATTGGTGGCATATTGCACAGACTGCACTCAATTTATTCTTAAGACTCTTTAGCAAAAAGTTTCCATTATTATCCAATTGGAATACTATAAATGGTTTGTGTTTTATTCCAGCAGAACACAACCAACTCAGAATGTACCAATGGAACATACTGAATGGGGCTGTTATTTTGAGTATGTATGTTTCATATTTTTTTTAGTCATGCACTGAAGTCTCTTTCCACAGCACTGTTGTCTTTTTAGGGAAAGGCTATGAGTCACAAGCAGAAGAACATTTCCAAGTAGATCTGGGAAAAATCCAAGTGAAATCTGGAGAGCCATTGCCAGTCAGCGTACACAAACCTGAAGTTGGTAGTTCAAAAATCTGGAAATACTGTTTCCTGTATTCCTCCTCTGTCCTTTATATGGAAGATATTCTGCCTTGGAATATTTCTCACATGAAGATTAAATTCAATCTACCCCCCCTTTACATATATTTCCACATTATATTGCTGATACAGAGATTTCCGTATATTTCTATAATACTATAACAATTTATCTAACTGTCATGGAGAGTTACTTCAAATCAGTACATTTCTAAGACAAATTTAAAACAATTTTATTCAAATATAATTTTAAGAGTCTTAGGGTTAATGGAAACCAAGCATTCTTTATCACAGAAATCATTCAAGTTATTCTGAATTTTCACATTATTAACTGTTTCCAGTTCAATAATTCTCTTATTTCAGATAGTCCTCGCTTACCAACTGCTTGTTCAGTGACCATTCAAAGTTACAACAGCGCTGAAAAAAGAGATTTATGACCTGCCTTCAAACTTACAGCTGTTGCAGTGTCCCATGGTCACCAGTTGCCATCTGCGATCTTCACAAATGGCTTCCAACAAGCAAAGTTAATGGGAAAGCCAGCAGGAAGTCCAAGTCATGGTCATGTGAAGTCGCACTTAACGACTGCAGGTGATTTGCTTAATGACTGTAGCCAGAACTGATGTAAGTCGGTGCAGTCACATTTCACTTTATGACCACATTGCTTAGCCAGAGTTACCGGTCCCAACTGTGGTTGGTAAGTGAGGACTACCTGTACAGATGTAATCTTTCAAGCCTAACTAAATATTGGTTTAGGAGCACTAAAAGTTCCATTGCACATAAAATAAATTGTCCTATTTAACAGTATACATACCTAGGACTTTCACAGCACAATGTGGACTCTCCAGAGTTACTCCTTCTCCTGTGTCAAACATAGGGTTGTCTATTCCAGTCTTGGGAGGAATTTGTGCCAGCTTTTTCAGTCGCATAGAAGAATTAAGATCGAGTTCTTGTTTTTTCCCATCTTCTTCCCGTCTTCGTCTTAGGTCCTCTTGCTGCTGTCGAATCCGTTCAAGTTGAGCACTCCGCCGTAATGGCATCATCCGGCTGCCTAGATCACCTGGGCAATCCACAGCCATCTCCCTGTGTTTCTGAGATTCTTCAAGAGGTGCAAGATCCATAATTTTTGTTTCACTGTCAGAATCTTCTGTTACATGTCCATTCATATGAGAAGTTGTCATTGTTCTATGTGATAAGCTATACTGCTCGTCAGACATAAACTTTATTGTAACACTTTTCTTGATAGCTCCACTTAAAATCCATTATAATGTTAAGCAATTCTTCTTATGCATTACCAGATGAATATAAAAATACATCTCCAGCAAGAAATCTGAAAAAATATTAAAATAAGTAGAGCATATTAAAATAAGTAGAGTTAATGCAGAAAAACTAATTATATTTAATGTTGCCTGTACCTTAATTTTCTAGAAACAAACTCTATGTCCAGGTATACAAAGTTTTCCTTGTTCCAACTCTCAAGTAAAAAGCTGGTTTCTGTCTAGTGGAGCAAACTAAATTAAAATTTGAAAGGCTATTCTGGGTGCCATAATCATAATTACACTGGAGAGGAAGCCTCAACTCCAACCTCATCTCCAATCTCATCTTTATAACTGATGAAACCTGGAAATGTCTAGGAGCAAATACCATGCAGACACATACTCAGGTCACCTGTGTTTGGATTAGGTGTATGATATTTTATTTAGTAACTGTTTAGTGGCACAGCTATTTTGCCTTCGCTTCATTTTATATATTTCTTACCTACGGAAATAATTATTTTAGGAAAATATGTTCTGATTTTTATTTAACATATTTGTTTTTTGTTATATAGTGGTACCTCGGGTTACAAATTTAATCTGTTCCATGACTCTGGTCGCAACCCAATTTGTTCGCAACCCGAAGCAAAATGTCCCATAAGGTTCAATGCAATTACCGTTAATCTGTTCCGGCGGCCGCGGACCACGCGTCAAGGGCAGAAAAATGGCCGTGGACCGTGCA